AAAAGGTTTTAAAAGGTTTTTAAAAAGCTTCTGATTTTCTAATATAGCTTCTATAAATTCGGTTCTATTAGTGGTAATATTCCAAACATAATACTGTTTTTGTCAAATCTGTATCGCTTTTTAAATTCAACATCTGAATAAAAATCAAAAGGATCTTGCACATCTCGAAAATAGCGTTTTGGAGCACGTATAATTATGTCTTCATTATCGGAATCAATATCAATATTATCATCAACATTGATATTATGTAATTTCAAAAGATCCATTCTTTACTTGTTTTCACAATTTTTTCAAATTACTTAATTTTTAATTGAAATTGATCTGAATAAATTTAAATTATGATTAATTGATTAACTTTAAACTATCACTTAAATGATTATTAAATATCATTTTATGATATTTATTAATCATTTAATCAATTAATTATCCTAACCTCAATGTTAACTGAGATGGTCTTAAGGGATCATTCTGGTTTATACGTCGAAAAAAAAGGCTATTTTCACGATTTTTTTAGGCTTTGTAGGATACATATACATATGAAAGTTGTTGGGTATGATAAATACACTATAGAAGTACAAGAAAAAAAATTTTTTTTATTGTTTTTAACGTTTTTTGACATCCAAAATGGCTGACAAACGTGAACCCGTCAAAAGTAGGTATGCTGTTGGCGAGCATCGAAATTTGAGAACGGGTGATCTAAAACAAAAAAATTAAACGGTTTTAAATTCAGTATGACAATGGCAATCGGGTATGCTAAAACTATCAATTTGTATGAAAACAGAACAAAATGACGGCCATTTTTCGAAAAAGAAAAAAATCGTTGATTTTTTTCGCAGTTTTTTGTAATAAAAAGAATATAGTAAAAATTAATATTCTGACTTGGTTATAGCATGCGAGATAGCTATTCATGTTTAGAGTATGTGGTTAAAATTTCAGAAGGATCGGTTGAGTAGTTTCAGAGATATCATGCCCGCTAACCGAAAAAACGTTGTTTCGAGAAAAACGCGTTTAAAGTTTCTTTTAACAAATTTTTAAAAAGTCTGACTTTATCTTATTCTGCGATGCCTGCACCATACAGTATGCCTTCTGCTTCTTCAAAATACTCATTTTCTTCCACTCTAGCCTTTTTTTGTTGTGTCCGCTCAAACAATGGCTAAGTGCACGCGCGTGTTGCAGCGGTTACTAGCGTAATTGACTGCGATAGGGCCAAGTTTTATCTCCAAAACGTGCATTATTTTCAGTATTGGATCAAAACCTTCGTTGAATATACAAGCTGCCAATTTAAAAGTTATTTCAACAATTTTTTTACCATTAAATAGGTGTTTAGGCACCATAGCCCAAACGCATTTGTTGAAGCACTCATTATTATTTTAAAT